CTTTCGGCAGTGCGGTACCACCCCTCCAGCCACAACCTGAAGCACACGCTTTACTAATTTTAAGATCTCTCCCCATCAAAACAGATGTTAAGCCTACACAGATTAAAAAAAAAAAAAAAACTGGTTAAATCAGCAGTGTAATATAATCCTTCAGACGTCAAATAGCTCTAAATACCCTTTCAAACAATCCCTTTGTTTCTTGCTGAAATGCTAAAATTGTTCTGCGTAGTAAGTGAGAGTCATTTCTTTGAGAAATCAGTGAGCAGACTTGCATCCACTTTGCAACACTCCCACGATGTTCAAAGGCTCCAGATCCTCTCTCACCTGTAATTGCATTGCTATATTATGGTTTTCTTCTCAGCTAGAATTTCAAGCTTATTTTATTTGCAGTGTGCTATGACTTTCTTTCAACTAGAATTTCATGCTTGCTGTATACACTATTGCAATAGCTCTATTACGGACAAATCATAGTTCTTCCACAGCATAATTAAGGTACTTGGTTTTTAATATATGACCTATGTTAGGTAATATTTCTAAATACATTATTAGGTCTTTTCAAAGCCCCTGAATATAACTTGCCGCCAGCAGCAGTAATATATAAACCATAATCCATCACAACAGAGATCAAGATGCTGACAGAGCACCGGGCCTCTTACTCTTACTACGCGATAGATGAAACGACTCTCAAAGTTGAATAGCACAGCCAGTCAATCGATATGTATTAATATTAATACTTGTATTATAATAGTGTCTACAGCAGCCAAGAACCTACAGTTCTAGGCACAAAAAGCCAGCCCATGCCCTGCAGGGTTTACACGGAAGCAGCACAACAGAGAAAGTCAGCGAGAGACAGGAAGGAACGAAGCCATATCAGCGAGCCCCCGAAACGGGGCAGGGTCACAGAGGGGATCGACTCCCCTGCGCCCCGAGCACGGTGCCCTTCTCGGTGAAATATAAGGATGGATAACTTGTGGATCAAAACTTCCCTCAAAAAAAGCAAGCGTTGCCTTTTGCTCATTTGTTCAGATAGAAAGGACAAGTAGCAGAGCAAGTAACAGTAGTCTTCCAAATGAATCGAGTAGAATGACAATTTAATTGGTCAAAATTGAAAAATTTGTGTTCAAAATGACTAAAACAAAAGAAACATGCTCACATCTCTAGTAACCTCAGTGCTCCTATTACAACTCTGAAATGTCACATCATTTGAGGGTCTTGAAGTGTGATTTAGGGAAAATTAACAAAAAGCACAGAGATAAGCAAAAAAGAGAAAAAGCAAATGGTTCGTATTTAACTTCTAAAAAGGGGCAGCCATAATTATCCATGAGAAAAAGTGATGCTTAAGTCAAGTGGAAAAAACCCATTTCCTAGCACGCGCACCTCCCTCCGGCACGCTCGCAGCTGAACAACATGCCACCACAATAGTCCACCAACAGTTTCATGGTTTTCTATCAGCGACGTAACTTCAACAGGACTGACAGAGCTCTGTCATCCAGCCACACAAAGCAAAGGGAAAAGAGGGAACATTGTGCTCTGCCTTCAGAGGCTGTCGGTGTTAGCGTCAGGCACACGGGAGAACTGCAAGAGGCAGGAGACACTTTCTGCTCTTTCCTCGGATTCACTGCGAGATGTTTCCAGGCGCAGAGACAGAGCTGCAGGGCTGGTGCAGAGCAGCACGACTGCAAACCCGCTGCTGCGAGCAGGAGGAGGAGGAGGAGCAGGGCAGGTCCGCAAAGCTCCAAAGAGAACGGGGGTGTGTTACTACAATCAGGGAAACACTGACATTTATTTATGCCTTCTCTGCAAAAGAAAACACCAAAAAATACACTAAAGATCGTAATGAAAGATCATGGAGGAAGGGAAAAAACAGAAGATCCCACTGACTGAACTCCAAGGTGATGGCTCTCTTTGCGGTCGGCCCACACCTCCTGCAGTCCCCTGCACACTGTGAATATACAGCAGAGATGCTTGACTTCATCGCTAATTTATATTTGGTATTTCACATACCCTAGTGCCAGAGCCGTGACGATTTCCATCACACTTCTTAGCTACTGAAACACAGGAGAGACTAAGTGCATTTAGGATCTGGCAGCATTAAAAAGATGCATGTTTTCAAATAAACAGCAATAAATTCAGTGAAAACATACAATACTTGTTTGCTTGTTCAGTCAGCCTCCTAGCGGCACATGAACCATGTTTGCACGTAGACTCCATTTTGAGCTCGGCTGTGCACCTGCAGGAGGGCCAGTGCCTCTGACAGGGAACACAGCAACTCCGTGGGAAGCCTGGGAACCGAGGGGCAGGAGCAGCATCCAGAGCGCAAAGGGAGAGAGGTGAACATACACAGACACGCTCTGCCGAGGCTAAACATCACACCTCCGCTCAGGCTGTGAGCAACAACACAAACCCCGACTGAGGAACGCATCCCCGTTGCGTACGCAGTCGTGGTTACGTGAGAGCGGTGAAAGGCAGGAGGCACTAACACAAACAGGCCAAAGTAACAGAAAAGCAAAAAGGCCAGGAGGGGGGAGGAAGCTAAAGGGAGGGGGGCGAAGTGGAAGTCCTTTAAAGTTTGAATTTAGATCCTTGAGGAACACTGACTGACATACAGCAAAGTTGGTATTTACATTCATCACGCATTTACATGTTGTAGCAGAGCCTTGGAAGTTCTCGCCTGCCTCTTGTAGATCAAATCACTGCTGACGACAGGGCAGCCAGGAGTCACTGCCCAAAACGTCCCCACTCTGCGCTGCCGGCTATGAGAACTCCGTGGGAAGCTCTCAGCAAAACTGCAGTCAGCCCAGACTCTGGCATCCACAGTCTCCACGGTTTGACGATGCAGATCCAGACCCGGAGATTAGCATCACATCACTGCAAAGTTCCAGCTCTTCTCAACATTCAGCGGGCCAACTCTCCCCACCTTCCAGTCCCATTATCTAGTTCATCTAATTAACAAAATGGGTTTGGAGGTTTCAGATCTGGGAATCATTAAAAAATTCCTGAATGAAGGTGTCAGATAAGTACAGATAATTATTTTTAGCAAACATTTAAGTGGGCTCTAAATTAGTTTCTAAATCTGTCCTTCCTAAAAGTTCATAATAATGAACTGAGCAATCTCTGATAAAAGTGGAATTTTCCTCCCCTTTGCTAGATTTGCTTCAAACTGCCCATTTTTTAGAGGATACCAAAAAGTATGTCAAGGGATTCTCTGCTCGTTTGCTCTCTGCTTGGCTAGCGGATTCTTTCTCATGGACTCATGAGAAAGAAAACCCTGAATGTGTGACTTTTCTTAAGGGATCTCTTCTTCTGGTGAATCCTCAAAAGCAGCAACAGTGATATTCACCATTATCCTGTGGTACGGTCTGAAGGGCCTTACAAAGGTATTTTCCACACTATTGTATACAAGAAGAACTACATCACAAGAAAGAAAAGAATGACTTTCTAGAATCCATCAGGGTACCAAGCAGGTCTGGGAGAGGTACAGGAATAGCATCCAGGTCTACTGCATTTCCGTCCTCTGGTTCAGCCAGCAGACAGCACCACCAACTCTAAGTCAAATTATGTTCCCAAATGAACCCAGAAATATAGGCTTTTAATATGCTGGCAATAAGAAAGAAAAATATTCCCATAAGGAACCAGAAATATAGTCTTTTAATATGCTGGCAATAAGCAAGCCATAAGTAACCCAAGAAATTCACTGTTCAATTTCAAAATTTCTGCAAAAACACGTTCCATTTTACTGCAGCCATATTTGCACGGTTCTTTCAGTACAGCTCAAGCTCTGCCATGTCTAGTTGGAACATCATCTGAAAGACCACATGAGAACTCTTATTGTCATTTTTTCTACTCTTTTCTTGTACACATGTCCCAGCTCCTCATGCTACACAATGATAAGACAATTCGTCATAGTTACAAATGACTGAAATAATTTTCCTCAAAAGTTGTTATGTCAAAGCACTAACGAACACTGTTTGCCATGTGCAAATACACAGTACATTTAGCCAGGCTGGACACTGTCCACTTTCTGACTGCCTGACTTCCTAATAGCGCCATCAGAAATCTCTATTATTGCCACCATACTTTTCAATAATTAAAACAATGTCATATTACCAGCAAATGTCAACTCATTGACCCATTGCACCTCCAAATTCTACTGGGGCATGCTGTTATCTTGTCTCCATTTCTAAGAAAAACTGTGCAATATTATCTGAGCTTACTGTTTTCACTGATCATCATCATTTCAAGCCTCCTCTAAATTTATATTCCTCCACAATTTTACGGAGGAAACTTTTCAAAAGGATTTTGAAAATTAAGGCAAATTAAGCCAAACCCAGCTAACTTTACCTATCGTTTTATTAGCCTTATAGTAAGTTACATTTAGTAGGCTATCATTCTCTCTTACAGGAACTACATTAGCTTAACTCTATCAGGTTGTACTTCCGTTCTTAGTCATCCTGGATCAGGAATCAAAACAAGGATTTTTATTATTATTACTATTATTCACAGGGTATTTGATAGTCAAACCTGCACTTAGGAGGTTTTCTATAATAACTGTGCCACCTCCATTTCCATTAAACATCGAAAAAGAAACAGTGAGAGTAGATGCACTCTGCAGCAAAATATTTATTTTACTTCCATTACGCGAGTTAAGAATTTTTCCCTTGGCCTCCAGCCATCTCAGTTCTCCCCTTTACAACCACAAGTGATTAGCTTCGCTTTGTAAAAATAAAGGTAGCAGATGCACTGTTTCCTTTCTTTCTGTTTGGACTAAAAGATTATATGGCTGAACTGAAATTTCTGTATTACAGAATTACATTATAATTATATATGCATAGAGAAGAAATACATTTGGAGACGGGTATTAAGCTACCACATGCTCTTTCATTCTTGATTCACTGCCTTAATCACTAAAGTGCTGTGCAGATTCGGTAACAATCTTGCCTGGCTACAGCTGCTGAAATCTCCTTAAGGCCTCAGCACACAGCCCTGCCGTGGGGACTCACCACATTGCATGCATGTAGGTTGGAGGTAGACGCGGGCTGCTGACGGGGGTGCAGTTGTAGGATCTCATAATTCTTTCTGCCAAGAGAAAGTTACGGAATAAACTGGCCACAAGCAGGTCCTGCCTGAAGAGCTTCTGGAAAAGATCTGTCAAGAGATTTCATGGATTACTACATGCTGAGACATGACACTACAACTATTAAAAGGACTTCTGCCCTCTGAGTTCCCTTAGTACATCACAGTTGCTCTCCATTTTACATTAAAAAAACCCAAATACTTTCCACCTTAAGTTGATTGTCCCTTTTCTGGATAAAAGTTCCTCTTCTGGTGTTTCACTTAAACTCATCTGTCCTAAGTTTTTTGGAAATTACTGAGGGGAAAAAAGGACCTGTATATACTGTTTAATCAAGAACTACACACTTGTTAACTGGCAATTTGATGTGCTCATGAAAAAGCAAAATGAATCCTAAAAGATACTAGACACGCTGTCTTCTGTAGAGGCAAAAAAGTACTTATGCTGCTGTACTGAAAATGAGTAAGAGCTCAGCTGGAAAACTTTACGCAGATTTGCCCACCCATGCTGCAGAATAACGAACTCGGAACAGAACAGGGATGGAGGAACAGTACGAAGTTAAGCAGGGGAAAAAACAGACTGTCTCACCAGCGAAGGGAAAAAGAACTTTATTTGTGAGACTCACAAAGGCTAGAAGAAAATAAGATTGTTCTTTACAGACAGAGCAAGAAAGAAAATCATTCAAGCTACGACAATGCTGCTGGCACTACAAAAAAAGAAAAAACATACAACACTGGTTTCTAGTTACCAAGTAGTTGAAAATATTCTGGTAGAGAGCGAGCGCAAAAAATTTAACTAGTCTTAAGATGAGGAATGATCTGTTCTTTTGGTATCCTTGTTTCAGTATCTCATTTATCTCACTCCTTTATCCTTCTACTCTGAACAAGCAACGCTCACTTTTGATGAAACCTTGATTCTCCTGCCGAAGTCTTACCTCTAGGCAAGACGTTCCACGCGATGGTGTCTGTGATAGCTGTGAAAATCCAATTCAATTCTCCTAGAGGAGTTCTCCTGTCATTCAGTCTTCCAGGAATCCTACAAGAGGGGACAAAAACAAGTAGGTTTCCTGTTAAAAAAATATTTTTTTTTGGAGACACCTCCATACACATACTCATGCTCACTTCTAAGCCTTAACCAAGGGTCACAGAGGACAATATTCCAGAGTTTTAATTTTACTGTCGTATGAGGATTTGTTTCCTTTTTACCACTTCAAAGGCTTCTTGAAGCGAGATCCTGAAATAAATGAAATCTTTATCTACTTCTTGCAACGAGTGCCATTTTTAATCTGTTTTCCATGGGTAGGCAATAGCGGTATCATAAGCAAAATGGGTTAATCAAGAAGTAGTGTTGCTAGACAGGTGATACACAGGCAACCAAGCACGGAGCATAAGAAAGTAGCAAAGATAAATGCCTTGATGTACCAGAAACCAGTGGACGGAGAGATGATTTTGCCTTGTATCGCTGAGAACGACATGGGAACACTGTGCGTAGTATTCACATTTAAATCATTCAAAAATGGGGCATACAAAATATAGAAGGTGCAGAAAAAGCTACAAAAATGATAGCAAATGTCTCATACAGTGAGACATTTAAGAAGGTCGTTCTATCTATCCTGCCATGGAGTAACTCGAACGTTGCGGATAACCACCTACAAGAGGGAAAAGTCCTGCTGCTAACGAATACTTTACACTAGTGGAGAAAGGGAGGAGACAGCACTCAACCACTAAAAGAAGGGAAAGCGATTGATTCTTCACCTGCCAAAGGTTCAGGGATACACTCTGCAGACAAGCACGAGTTACCTGGCTTTATTCAGGGAAAACTAGGTGAAATCCCGCAGCGTGAGACAGGCAGAAGGCCAGAGCAGATAATATAACAGTCCCCTCTGCACCTAATATTTATTATTTTAAGTTTCCATACAGCAGAAACAGCCGCAGACTGGCGCTCAGGGAGGTGAGCGGTCACAAACCTCTTCTACGGTAGCCAAACGACGCCGACAAACCAAGAGGTTCGTCTCTGTGGAGCGCAGCATACAGATTTTAATCTGAAAGCTATTTCCACAAGCCGAATTTGGCTGCCCACTTGTCAGTCCGAACCGGTGAAACAAGTAACAGCACTAGCTAGATGCGTTTTACCTCTGCAGGGCGGAAAGGCAACAGTCTCGTTTGCCACATGTGAGCATCTTGCTTATCTAGATCGAAAATACAGTTCATCAATACGTTCCCCTACCACAAGGCCCCGCAAATTCATTTCATCCAGGAGCTGAATAAAGCTCTTATACTGTACTTGTTAATCCTTAGTAAGACATGGGATCTACAGAAGCCACGGGACCAACACGCAATCTGTCTTCTAGGATTCAGGAGACCAAACCAAAAGTCTACTGCGGCTCAAAATCGACATACAGGTGACAGTACGTAAACAAAAAGTGTGCAAACTGTTCTCAAACATCTTCTGACTCTACCCTCTAACATGCTTCCTAATACTAATTTGCTTCTCATAAAACAAAATACTCCAAGACCGACAGACTCAGCTCTGGGTCGGTCTCTCAAACGCACAAACGTAATCTGGCACTCTCCAGCATAGCTTTTTTTTAATCTGAGGAAGCATCAGAGATACGAGGAGTAAATTTCAAAACCAGGCATCCAATCCAGGAAACCACCCTCAGGATTTAACCCAACGCGCTCCCCCAGCTTCCCTTCTATTGCAAGTTTTCTAATATTAGAAGCGTCAAGACAAAATTATACGAACCAAGTGATTTCTCTCCTGCAACCTGCTCCTCTGATAGCAGAGCAGCGTTATTCCCCATGCAGGTTTGCTTGCTCCCCTGTACAACTACAGTTTCTGAAACAGCCAGAAACTAACATCATCTGAAAAAATCCTGTCCTTGCTCGTTTTGTACCTCACCCCAGCACGGGGAAGATTAATGCTGTTCAGCGCTTCGAAACCCTACGCATTCAGTGTTACTGGTGAGGGCAGAGAGCGAGGAAGAGCACGAGCGGGGAAGGCCGCACGTTTCAATAACTGCCCAAAGCCTGCCGGGCTCGCGGGCTTGAGCTGGAAGGAGAAGGCAGCGCCGGAGGCCGCGGGCAGCGCCGGGGTGCTCCGCGCTGCCCGCGGCACCCGACTCGAGCTCCAGCAGTCGGCACTAGCGCTCACTAGCTGAAACTAAAACCAACACGTTTTCTGCTCCTGAACGGGACTACCCAAAGGCTCCTCCTGCGGGCTGGAGGACAGCTTGCAGTGAATCTCCATCATCTTGGGGAGTTAAACTTCCAAAGGCAGCAGGAGAACGGTTCCAAACCCTCAGACGGCATTCAGATGTACTCCGATAACAGGGATAACGAATCAGCCAACTATCAATTAAACACATCAGATGAATTCAATCTGTCTGCCCTAAACCTCGGAGGGAGCTGCACCACAGCACTACATTAAAAAACAAAAAACAAAACAAAACCCTAAAAAACAAACAAACCTAAAAGGTCATGAGAAAAAAAAATTAGAGCAATCTCTATTTATTTCTTCATCTTTTTATAAAGATTTATTTAATATAAAGTAACCTTTTTTTTTTTTTAATATTTCCACCCTTCTTAAAGAAGTAGAGGTCACTTCATTTCTGTTCTTTTTCTAGAGTTCCACTACACACACAAGTTTACCCGATGCCATTTTCCACATAATATATTATTTCAGAAATTAGTACATTTCCCTTGTACAACGTGCTCTTTCAAACCTGTCCTGTGACCATAAACTAGCAAGTTTTAAAAATGTATTTCTGGACACGCATCCACATAAATGGAAAGTTGCAAAGCTCCAGAAAGTATTTTTCCTGGTGAGGAGTACTGCTATCATCTTGGTGTCACTTCTCAGGTCCTTCACGTTACGCCTTGACAATCATCAGAGAGCCTTTGACAGTAAGGACAAAGCAGACTTCATTTGTAAAAACTATTTTTGAGGGAGGGGAAGAAAAGGAAAAAAGGGCAGGCTGTCTCAGCTGTTAGCTGCAATTTAACATCTCCAGCCGCTCAATTGCTTCTTCCATCAACTTCCTGACAGACACCTTTACAAAGACCTAAATCACTGCGGTCTATTGTGAAAAGTGAGGACTACAAAATGTCAGGGTCCCTAAAGAGCTTGTGCAAGGTGTAACCGTCAATGGCCTTGTCAGAAACTTAGCAAAATCCTATGAATCACTTTAATTACAGTGGAAACATTTACTTCAAAGGATGCCAGGTTTTCTCTTCAGATGGACTCTATCATTACCTCTACTTTGGACATATAAAACATATAACATTAAGATATCTGACACGATCCACAGACTTCAGAAGAAAAGATGCTGTGGCATTGATGTATACCTGTGAACATTCACACTAATTTTAGTTTTGGCAAAAAATTAACATATTTCACTTGTCACTGTTCCAGGAGACAAGGGAGAGCGAGCGGAGCGTGGCAAAGGGCAGGAGGAGAGCGTCCTGCCGCGCGGGGGACGGGCCACCGAGAGCTCCTGCACCGCCAGGAGCCACGCTGCCAGCTTGCTCACAGACCGCACGTCCTCGCCGTCACAAAGTAACGTGAACGATACAGACGTGCCGCAACGGGGCTCCTGAAGCCTTGGCAAACTACTCGAGAAAGACAAAACTTGTAAATTTTTAAATTATTTATTCAAGAGTGCTATAAGGCTTTGTACACTAGTTGCCAGCCCTGCTGTTTTTCCGTACGAAGACATGAAAGAAGTGTTGCCATGAACACCAGCCTGTTGAGTACGATCTTTACTTTGTCTATACAACAGAGTTTACACGCAGCAGAGACTGGTACCCTGTGACAATGGGGATAAAACTTAAATACTCCATTTCAATAAAACCAGACTTATTACTGAACAGAAACCTTTCAGATCAACATCTTCAAAAGTGAAATTTTCCCTCAAGTACGAATGAGCCCGGTAGTACAGACAGGTAGCGTGGCAAAGCATCTCTGTTATACCACCGCTAATAGTACTTGCTAAAACACTTATATTCTGAAATGCACTTGAATCCCTTCAACTGAATTTTCTAGAAGAAAACAAACTGGTTGAAAACTGCTTAAACTGGGTCCAATGGCAAACTAAGAATTAGTTTTCCCACAATAAATAAAATAGTAAATATAAAGAAATAGTCAGGCTGCAGCAGTTCAGAATTTAGACCAGTACATGGTTGCTTAGGTATCATCTGTAAAGACACCTTAACTTTCGCAGCTATGGTGGCACAGCCCGGCTGCGGGGAGAGCGCGGTCCTGCCCACGCCGGAGCCAGCGTTCCCCTTCCGCGGCACTTGGTCGCTTGCCCAGAAGGCCACAGCATGCGTCGTCTAGTCCAGCTGAAAAAAACGGATTTTTCTTTTTTCTTTGTTTTTCCTTTTTCTTTCTTTTTTTTTTAAATTAAATGCCTTTCTCCACCCAGTTACGTTCTGTCGAGCTTAAATACAAGCAGCCGTACTACTGTTTCCTCAAACCAGGTAGGCAGTGTATTTTAGAAGGTAATACTGTATCCTGGTGAAAATATAACTTAAAATACAGTTTAGCGTTTGGACTGATTTGCAAACCCAGCCATAACAGCAATTTTGTTTATTCAAACAAAAGTAAAGTCAGTAGGGTTGTTACCCTATCTGGACAGTTTTGGTCCTTCTGACTTTTTCAAACAATATGTAATTTCCAGCGACTTTCCACACGCAACAGACTCACTCTGTTCCGGGTGATGCGAGCAAAGGCTTGCTGCGCACGTTACCCTTCTCAGGGGAGGGCGATAAAAGCCTCCCTCCGGCAAGCCGGAGCCGGCGAGCGCTCTCCGTTTACCCGATGCCATTTTCCACATAATATATTATTTCAGAAATTAGTACATTTCCCTTGTACAACGTGCTCTTTCAAACCTGTCCTGTGACCATAAACTAGCAAGTTTTAAAAATGTATTTCTGGACACGCATCCACATAAATGGAAAGTTGCAAAGCTCCAGAAAGTATTTTTCCTGGTGAGGAGTACTGCTATCATCTTGGTGTCACTTCTCAGGTCCTTC